CCTGAACATTTTATAGATCAGTTACGGATTTTCTGAGCTAAAGCATTTCACATTTCCGAGGTTGGTCAATGGGTATCAGACAATGTTAGGGTGATAGACAAATGCCATCTGACAGGCTGGTATACATAAGCTATTGTGCGAATCACGTCGCATTTAAATTCCTCTGCCATTCTCAATGGAAGTGGGATGCATGGCGCATCCCAGGAGTGGCGAGTTGACGCCGAACGCTTTGTTATTCGATTGACGGGTGTGCGCGCAATCGTGCACACTGTGAGAACAAGCGAGTGATGATCAATGAAAGCTTCTGTTTCTTCAGATTTATCGCAGTTTTGCTCTCTTCCAGTCGTTCCAAAAACTTGGATTCTGAGAGTGATCGTTTGACCCTCACTGTCCTACAAGCCAGGATTAGGCTGCGGTCATTTGTAATTGATTTGCAGTTTGTGCGTGGAATAGACCACTCAACGAGAAATCGCCCAAACGCAGTCGCAACCTTATGACCTAAGCCACTACTTCGGCTTTCCTCTGTGTTGCCTCTCGCGAAAAGCTAGGGCGCAGACGGATAAAAGAGGGTGGCCACCTCAGGTCTGACGGCACCCGGTGGGGTGGGGGTGCGTGAGCCGAAATAGTGGGGCAACGTTGTAGCGTGCGAGGCTAGTCAAGAAACGCTATTTTGGCAAGGAAGCACAGACGAGGGCAGCGATAGTGTGTTTTAAGACTGTGTTCAAGCAGCATGTAGACCCTGTCAGAGTGGATGAAGTGCATCTTTGGTATAGAGAACCCATTAAATAAACTTGTTTGTTCAGTTCAATAGGAGTCAGCATAGTTGTTTGATCTACAAAAATCGTTGCAGTTACGGCTGAGCTGTCCATCATGCCGTGCCAATTTCGGAGCAATCTACACCTACAAAATATTGGAAGGCAAACCAACGCTGCACAAAGTGCAAAAAATGGAACAACCAACGCAGGTTGAGGTCAGTCCCGTGAAGTTTTGATTTTTATCGTTTCTCTGTCAATTGGTCGTTCCAATTGATCTTTGAGCTTATTTTCAGCCATTCGATGAGGCAAATCCCCTTGATTTCACTGTATGCGAAATTTGTTCCGGTGGAATGCACGAAGAGCTTTTACTAATTTGCGACCAGTGCGATAGAGGGTTTGTTTTTCTTTTGCATCTCTTGATTTAGTAATTTCTTTGCGCCCGTTCATAGTTTGCGATTTGTGCGATTCGATGATTCCGCTAAAAAGAAAGCATACGTATCGATTTGGAAACCCGGTTATTATGCGGTTAGGCGATTCGGCGACTTATTCTTCGAAGCGAAGTGTCGGTGAGCATTTTGCTCAATGGGGGGGGGCAACATTTTTTTCTGCGCAGGAAAGTCAGTGCATTAGAACTACGACAACCATTTCATTTGATAATTTGGGATAAGCAATGCTCACCTTAATAGGGCGCGGCAATTTGTCCGTCTGCGTTCTCTTGGCTAGTGTGGGGATATTTTGGCACGCAGTTCCCAGGGACTGCTCTGAATCGAATTTTGCTCGACTGTAATGAGTAACATACTGCAAGCGGCTTAGTTCTCCGCCATTTTGAATTTTTGGGGCATAGCCTGCTAGGGGAGGTTGGCTTGTACAGTGGTTCATCTCAGCAGAAGTACCCCATTTTTGGCAGGGGCAGGGTAGTGCTTCTTCAGAGCGTGTTAATTATTTTTATAGTGCGAAATGAAAGGGACCAAGCTTGTAGTTCTGAACTGGAAATATTTTTGATGATCCTGAAAGGCTTGAATGCTCTGCGCCGCGATACCTCCCACCTTAGTACATTAGCGCTCTTTTTGTGCCGGGAACAACTTGATTTTTTTCTTAGCTTCCTCTCGATCTCGCTGTCCCATAACGGTTTCCTTTTAAGATTTCACACCTACTGCCTTAACCCTCCTCTGGATGCGGTTCCAACCTCTGAACAATGGTTCTGTCCTCAGTGTGAAGAATCTCGAATGAACCAGCCATCCACAAGTCGAAGAAGTGAACCGTCAGCAAGAGCTATTCGCCTTGTACAGCGAACCGCTCTTGCAGAGCGAGTCCGTCGAATGCTGGCTCGCAACCGCCGAGTGTAGGTGCTTTGATTCCTTAGTCGGTCTTGGAAGTGTTAGTAGCGATTGTTCCCTTTCCTTCTTTCGCCCTTCAGAAGAGCCTGTTTCTTCGTTGTTTTCCACGACTTCATGTTTATATGAGAATGGTTCAGAGTGGAAATAATCGAAAGTAGCACAGAAGAGGAAGAGGAAGAGGGTGGTGATGACGAGGAAGAAGAAGAGGAGGAGGAAGAGGAGGACTCCGTTGCGTCAAGTGAGGTAGGTGAGCCGTTTATATGCTGTATGTATGACCACACTCTTACCCTAAGCGCACAGGTTGGTTGACTGGTATAGTTGCAGCGCTAGGTAGCAATGTTTCCCGAGTGGGTGACGCCGTGTATCATATAACTTCGTCAGGCTGCTCGTTATCAGAGCTCTTTTACCAGAGACATAAGCATGACTCCTACGAAAGTTATGAATGAGAAATTCCAAATCAAGCGAGAGTGTACAGAATCTAGTGCAAAATGTGTTCATCGTGCCAGATGGTGGCCTGTGCAGCTTTTCATGTGAGGTAATTTATTTGTAGGAAGAGGCGAGAGACTTTTTCGACGACGACGCTCGAGTGCTCGGTGAAATTGAATACGATATCCCACGCGGAGAAGTTCCATTGCCAACGTCAGTTATTTCAAAGATTTATTTTGTTTTATGGTCGCTAATACATAGTAAATGAACTTGTGCGTACACTTTTTCCTGCGTTTCAGAGTAAGAAGGAGATCCAAAAAGGAAAGAACTGCTAGTAAGAAGACAACGAAGGCGGCAGGGAAAAGGAAGAAAGTGACTAAGAGACGCACTAAAGGGAAGCGGAGAAAAGTCAAGGTGGAATAATAAATAATTTATGTGCTACAGCAACGAAAAGTGCAAAAATAACTACAGAATTTGGGAAGTGGTTTGAACTTGAATTTCTGTAATTCGACCAAATTCTGAGTTTTTGCCTAACCTCGAAAGAGAATCAAATTACGTGGTTGGGACAAAGGTTCTATTAAGTTGAACAGACTTGACTGCGCGGTAGACTATTGTGAAAAATCGATATTACTTATCACTGTTGTGGCGATTTTAGCGCAGACGCTCCAAGCGTACTTCTTCGACGCATGCGAATGCTAAGGAAGGACCTATGGACGCATTTGTGTTGCGACGCGGAGTTGCACGTGATCCAATTGCTCGTCTGTCGTTATTGGGTGCAGGTCTGGAACCGGTAGCCGACGAAGACCCGTGAGTTTTGCTGTGTTTCCGGATAGACGTTAGTGTGGTTGGAGGGGGCATTTTGAAGTATTGTTCGTGCCGACTACTATAGTCCTAACATAGTTCTATGAAGGAGAAAGGAGCAACAGTAATCATTTCTTGGAGAAGAAAATTCGGGGTGGGTGAACGTTTCGCTTGGGCAAAATGGAATCAATTGAGTGTTACTTTGTCTAATTGTCAGAAGAATGTTCTTGATGGTTTCAAATATTGTGTTCTCAATATCGAAAATTCCTCTAATCGCATTTGTGCCTTCAAAACAGTTAAGAAAGTGGTTAGTCCAACGATAGTGAATCTCTCTTGGTCGAAATGAATAGAGACTAGTCTTCAAACAGTGACATTGTTTTACCTTCGAGTTTATTGCACGTTGTTAATAAAATGATCGTACTGTCCATATTACCATGTCTCAGTCATTTGTGAGACAAAAAGATGTTCATTTTACAGACTAGTCACAGAGAACTCTCGTCGTTTCGATCGCCCTATAGTACGACGGAGGGAAGAATCTCTATCGGTTACTAAAGACGAACCTGAGGAGAAGAAAGTGGCCGTCGATGCTTGGTAACATTATTAACCAAAATATAACAACTTATTTCTTCCAAATTATCATCTTTTAATACATTTTTTAACGAATATTTAGTGACCTCCTTGGATCGATCATCCCAGAACAAACGAAAACACTTGCTCCAGGAAGACTATTCGCCGTCAGGGTGAACACTGTTTGGAATATCTTTGAACATGAGTCCTAAAAACAAATGAACTTTGCAGGGTGGACGTTTCAATACCACTGAGGACTTTGAGAAGTACAAAGCAAGAACAACCAATCAGATGTCTAATGAGCTAAAAGAGAGACTTGGAGTTGGTGTCTTGAGCTAGCCTACTCTTATTGTTGTTTTTCAAATTATTTTCAGATTCCGGTTGAAAAGACGGCTTCAGAGGAAGAACCATCAAAGCGCAGTGGGATTCAAGAAACTAGCAAGGTTGGTGTTTTCTGGGTCTTTTACGGCGGCTCTCTTTTCCAGTTTTATGGTAGTTTTTTGGGTATGTCATAACCTTCGATTCTTGTGTAAACTGTTCAGGTGAACAGCGACGTTAGCAATAAGGAACATCATTCGGCACGTGATGGCGATACTGCGCTTCCACCGCTTTTCAAAAAACCTGAATCGAAGGATGCTATTCGATGTCGAGAGAACAGTAAAAACGGGACCAACGATGACAGTCGTCTAGGGCGTGATAGTAAACGGGTAGAAGGTTTGCTGCCTGGTCAAAAGCCAGATCCACACATGAAGCGAGTCATTGATGAGAGGCCTTCATCTAGTTACCGGCGATATGAAGATGACCGTGACCGAGTTGTTCACGATCGCAGGACTGGTGAGCGACATCATTCGGATGTTCAGAAGGCAGAACAACCTGGAAAGCAGAGATCTGATGAAAAGGTATTTGCAGCCAACGGTCACTACCCAGCTAATGATCATGACAGAGCTATGCGT